GGTGAATGCCCACTTCATCGTATGCATCCGACGAAGTGGGCATTCACCCACGAAAGCTTATGCTCCAATACATCCGCTAGTATTAAAGGTGCCACAGGACTCTCTGTTGCTTTTTACAGATCCAGACTAACACGGCTACTCCTCTGATACATAGAATGTTTCTATAAGGTTTGGAGGAAATTCATCATATAGTTTGTTTCGTAGAATATAGAAAATAAATTTACCTGATTATAAAATAAACCCTGATTTAGGGTTGCCAGGTGTCCGGATTTCGACCGGAACTCCCGGTCGAAAAGGGACCCTGGCGGCTCTGGTCAGCACCACTCACCAGGCCATTAAAAGTCCGGCCGGTGGTGCAGGAGGGGCTAAGGCAGGCTCTGCGCAGCTCCCGGAAGCAGCAGCATGCCCCCCCTTTGGCTCCTACACGTAGGGATAGCCAGGGGGCTTTGCATACTGCCCCTTCCCCAAGCGCTGGCTCCGCAGCTCCCATTGGCCAGGAACCGTGGTCAATGGAAGATGCGGGGGCGGCGCCTGCGGACGGGGCAGCACGCAGAGCTGCCTGGCCGCACCTCCACGTAGGAGCCGGAGAGGGGGACATGCCACTGCTTCTGGGAGCTGCTTGAGATAAGCTCTGCCCGGAGCCTGTACCCCTGCCCCAGCCTGATCCTCCTCCTGCCCTCCGAACCCCTTGATTCCCGCGCGGAGCCCCCTCCTGCACCCTAAACCCCTCATCCCTGGAGCCCTCACCCTCCCTGGGCCCCAACCTCCTCCCCTGCCCTGATCCATCCCCCACCCTCTGAACCCTTTAGTCCCAGCCCAGAGCACCCTCCTACACCCAAAACCCCTCATCCCCAGCCCCACCTCGGAGCCCTCACCTCCCCCCCCCCCGCCCACACCCCAACCCCCTGACTCGGAGCCCCCTCCTGCACCTCAAACCCCTCATTCCTAGCCCCACCCCAGCCAGATCCCCTCACACCCTCCCTCATCCCAATCCACTGCCTCAGCCTGGAGCCCCACTCCTCATTTCTAGCCCCACCCTGGAGCCCACAACCCTAGCCAGAGCCCTCACCCCCTCCTGCACTCCAACCCCTTGAGCCACCCCGGTGAAAATGAGCGAGTGAGTGAGGTGGGGAGAGCAAGCGACAGAGGGAGGGGGGATGGAATGAACAGGGGAAGGGCCTTAGACAAGAGGCGGGGCCTCGAAGGAGGGGCGGGGCAAGGGTGTTCGGTTTTCTGCGAGTAGAAAGTTGGCAACCCTACTTGATTTGAAAATTTGACTTTTGCCTGATATTTTCTCTAATTCAAACAGGCCTGTTACTGTCCTTTTAAATTAC